TGAGTATACCAAATAAAAATAGAATGGTGAAACCAATATAACACATGCCTTGATGTTCTTCAAAGCATATAGAAAACCTTACACTTTTTAAGACAAAGTCATGAAACAAAAATTAATAAGAAAAACATCTACTCTTGCCGTGAGAAGATTGGTGTAATCAAGTACCAGAGATATTCCCCAAAATGGTGTACCAACATCAAAAAATGTAAAACCAATGACTTCTATAAATTGATAAAGATAGAAATGAATAAATTATCATTAAATTCCCTAATAAGCTACATCATTCCAACACGATTCAAGATTAGTAAGTTATGCTAAGAGACTTCCTGTGAATCTTCTTAATTAGGGTAGTTATACAACGAAGCTTAATTACAAACTTATTTATAATATTCACAAATAATGAATAGGTAAATGAGGATCGACTTTATTAAGAATATCAATATGCATGGATTCTCTTGTACTGCTAGTGATGACATGTGTGTAGAATTTAGGCAAGGGGTGATAAAGTATTTGTAGTCATATTTGCATTTAAGAAAAAAAAATTTGAATTGAGACTTCATGGGAATAATAAGTTTAACGTCAATTCCATACATAATGAGTATTTGTATGTTTATTTATAAAATATAATTCCATGTGTGTAAGTACTGAAAAAGATTAATCGATACTACATTATTTAGACTTGCATTTATTGTGATTAATTTCTATAGGTAACCATTAAAATTAGGTCAAATTGTCACTCCACATATATATGACTAGTTAATATTAATTTGAAACCTTAGTTATTCAAAAAAATTAAATTAATTTAATACTAACTATCATGATAAAATTTCGAATGTAAATTTTATTCAATAATATTTTTAATACTATTTTACTAAATGGGTAGTTGAAATAAAATAGTTATATAATAATTTAAACTGATTTGAATATAAATTTTTAACTTCACAAAGAAAGATAGTATCATATATAAAAATATTTAAATATACTCTCATGTATTATACTAAAAAAATTAAATCAAAACAAATAAAAGTAAAAAACGATAAAATAGAAATGTTATTTTCTGTCAATAAAAATATTCTTAAGAAAAAGCTTGCCTTTTTTTTTCTTGGGTCGTGTAGAAAAAGCCTGGCTTAGTCTTGTGGCCATCTTGCACAGAGGATAGGGCTCATTCTTCTTCTAGGTCCAAAATTTAATAGAATGTCTTCGTTCCATATATCTTAAGAATCTTACAGAAATCTTAGAACATGTTTAATTTTTTTATTTTTAAAAATAAAAAATCATTTTAAAAACAGAAATGAAACGTGTTTTTATTTTTTTTATTTTATTTTCAACCAAATATAAAGTGGGTGTTGTTTTAGTATGAATTTTTTTAAAAGTGAGAAGCATGGATACTATTCAAGTTTCAATTTTTTTATGATTCAATTTTCAAGTCCGCACATGACTTATAATGAGCATGTTTATTTCTATTTTATCTTAATTATTTTTCTTCCTGTTGTTTGTAATATAATTTTTCCTTTATTATTTTTTATTAATTCCATTTTTTTAGAGAAAAATGGGAACAATTTCAAGAGATATGTTCACCCAAAATTCAAAAAGAAATGTAGGGTCGTCATTTAGTGATAATCTAAACTTCCCAAATTTGTGCATTTATTTTATCATTTAATGTGATAATTGTTTTTAATTTAGAGCTCCAATCTCAATTATAAATATATTAAACTCGAAGACGTCATTTCAATAAATTGAGTCTAAAATTTTGTTAAAATTTTTTTTCTACCATTTTAATTGTTATCTGCATAGTTTTCATTACAAAATAAATGAATGCTTGTTACTTAAAGGTAATGAACAACGAAGATTCAATCCTCACCTAGTGATATTATCATCTCATTAATTGAAAACTTAAACAACTATTTGTTTTAATATACATATTTTTTAAATTAATGTTAGTATTGATTAAAAACTATAAAAACTATGTGAATTATATTTTTCTTTTATTTTTTTTAGTTTTTAATAAATTTTAATCGTGTATTGATGTTCTTATGTGACATAATATGTGTGGAAATGTGGGGACAAAGAAACAAAATAGAAAGAAGCAATAAGAGAGTGTGTGGGGTAGTGACCCAAAAGAATCTCGTGAATCGGATTTGGATTTTGTGACCACTGCCTGTGCCCATCACACACAACCCATGTTGCCTTGGACCCACGCCAACAAGACCAAATACACATTTCAAATCATATAAATGCTACGAATATTTTTTTTTTTAAAAAAAATTGTTATTATTAATTTTGAAAAATATTAAAATACTTGTTTTATACCAATAAATATGTGGATAAACTTATAAAAAGTTGTAATTAATCCATAGTTGTAATTAATATGTAATTTTGAATTTAAAGATATGTGTTATTTACATTTATCTGAAATGTGTATATGTTTTGGTTAGTGTAGTATAAAAGCACTTTCCTAGCCAGTGGTCCCTGTATTGATGGAAACATTTCGGAGTAAGGACAAGCAAGGAAGGGTCAAATTTTGAAAAAAGCGAAAAAGCTTAAATTATTAAATAAATTACTTATGCCTTATTTGAAAATAATGATTATTTGTTTTTCTTTGATGAACAATAATATTTCAAAATTATTTATTTTGTTATTACTTATTAATCACTTAACAGTAACAAGGAAAAAAATAATCATAATTTTGTAAGTTGGAAGGAAAAATTGTTATCCCCACCATGAAAAGGGGTTTTATTAAATTCAGTTACTACAGCTTTTACTCATTATTTATGGCTGATTTAAAGGCACCATGCTCTTTTAGGTGATGATATATCCATAAAAGTATGCACTTTTGCATGGGAATCACAGAATAAAATGTGTCTTCAAACAAGATTGAACTCATTCAGTTCAGCCAAATGGATCATTGTTTTAATCAAAGAATGGTACTTTACTCATTCTTCATTTTTTTTGTCCCTAATAATTGTTCATGGAATGAAATCAAAAGGTGGCCCCAAAACAGTGTAAGATGATGGTTGGTGGGACTCTAGTATGCAAGATTTTCACACCATTAAAAGAGAGGAGGGTTCATTTTGTTCCAAAACAAAAGGCTTGTTGATTTTAAATAATAAAAAAAGGCTTATTGATTTGGTTTATTGATGATGATTTGATATGAATACCATATTTAAGAACGGTGTTCTTGATAATTTGTTAAATCTACGTTTGATCTATTTAAACATTTTTTAGAATATTAGCTAATATTTTCATAAATCTTGATTCAAAAACGTTTTTTTATACATGAATGTTTAATGACAAAAAGATGCATGGGAAAAGGAAGTTTGAGATCAATGGGTTGTTCTATTTTTACTTTTGCAAAATAACTTCGTTTTCTTATTTTTGCACAATGACATAAAATACTCAAATCTCTTTTATAAGAATAAAACGGGCTAAGACATTAGCATATATTACCTTTTTTTTGTTCTTTCTATATAGCTAATTTTCAATAATATTATTTTTATGGTTTGAACTAAAACGTAAAAATATTTCTCTTCCACGTCCAGATTCTTGAGAATAACGTACCATAGCTTGAAATAAACGTGATGAACAAGTTATACTAGGAAACTGCAATCAATAGTTGAATACACGAGTTGCTTGATCTTGATACAGTCCATTTTGCTGTATATTGGTGGATTCTAGCAAATGTGGATAAATAATTTAAAAGGGGGTGTACAAAATTCACCGAAGATTCCTAGCCAAGAAAAAATTAGAAAGTTATTTGGTACCTGGAAATTCTACCTAAAGTGAAGATGAATATGGAAACTCCCTAATAATTAATATTTCTCCATACTAGAATGAAATTATGGGAAAAAGTGTTAGCTGTCATGGGATGCCTTTTTTACGAAGGTAATATACAGAAAGTGAGAATCAGTTGCATTCTCTTTGTCATTACACAGCATAGCAATATGGTTTTTGTCACCTATTGCTATAGGATCTATTGATATTTGATATACAGCAAGGCAGTGATATAATGGAGTAATTATGACTGTAGCTAAACAACATTAAGAAACAAACAATCCTTATGATGTAGTTGAATTATTTAATTATCTTGTAGATAAATTTATTCTTCTCATCTTTTTGTTTACTTTTATTTAATTATCTTGTCACCTAACAATATAGACATTTTCTTTGACAAAAGTTGAAGAGACTTTTCTACCCCCTTTATGGTTATATACTACCATGCTCTATGGTATAGACAACAAATAGAATATTATTTTCCTACTGAACTACATAATCTCTCTCTTATAATCCATAATCGAGATTCTCTTTCTCTAGATAGAAGGACAACTAATATTTCTCAATTTAAAATCCCCAAAAGAAAAATAAACCACATGACATTTTGCAGAGACAAGACTTGGAAGTATTTGCTCCTAGTATCTGTGATTTCAACTAAAAAAAATGCACCTTGGTATTGGAGTGTTAGCTCCTCCTCATAGAAGCATCAAGATCAATGCATCATTTGAATGATAGTAAAACTACAAAACCTCACAAGGAAATAGTAGCATACAAAATTATTCTTCAATTCACATAAAAAAAAAAAAAGCATATAAAGTACTAACTCACTCAACATTTGAGAACAGAAAACGAAGGCACAAGGAGGAAGAGGTTGTAGGACACGACAAAGGCCTTTGTTTGGACAAGGGCCTTGTAAGTTGTAATGGGGTGGCAATTTGTCAGTAGCTAAGCCATGTTTGTTGGACCAAAACTGTTTGATCACGGACTACACTAACAATACCATATTCACCCATTATTGGCTTTCTCAATGACCCATCTCTCACCCCATTTTTGTAAAATATTCTTCTCTACTTCTCGTGAACACACATGTAATATCGTTTTCGCTAAGGTAGTGTAACATCTACCGGTCATTACAGTTCTCACATACTATGTTATCCTTACAAAAAATAAGCTAACTACCAAAGATAGAAAGATAATTCAACCTCAAGAAGAGGAAGAAGAAGAGAAGAATGACAAGTGTTCAGTTTCATTGGAGAGTTTTAAGTTTACTGATTTCAGTTTCCTATTTGCTGACTTGCTTGGGAAACAATGACATTCCTGTTCAGTTGAATGATGATGTTCTTGGTCTGATTGTGTTTAAATCAGACCTTCATGACCCTTCTTATCTTGCTTCGTGGAATGAAGATGATGTCAACCCATGTTCATGGCAGTTTGTGCAATGCAATCCTGAGAGTGGAAGAGTCACAGAGGTCTCATTGGATGGCTTAGGATTATCTGGGAAGATTGGAAGAGGTCTTGAGAAGTTGCAGCATCTAACGGTATTGTCTCTTTCTCACAACAACTTGAGTGGGAGTATTAGTCCATCACTTACTCTTTCCAATAGTCTTGAAAGGTTGAACCTTAGTCACAATGGTCTTTCTGGTCCCATACCTACTTCTTTTGTAAATTTGAGTTCAATAAGATTTCTTGATCTTTCAGAGAATTCATTCTCAGGACCAATCCCTGACAACTTGTTTGAGAGATGGTTTTCGCTTCATCACCTTTCTCTAGCTTGGAACATGTTTGAAGGACAAATTCCGGGGTCATTGTCTAGATGTTCCTCTTTGAATAGCCTTAATCTTTCCAATAATCGTTTCAGTGGTAATGTGGACTTCACTGGGATTTGGTCACTGAGCAGGCTTAGGACTTTGGATCTATCCAACAATGCCTTATCTGGCACTCTACCTAGTGGAATTTCATCCATACATAACTTGAAAGAGATTTTATTACAAGGTAACCAGTTTTCAGGTCCATTACCTACTGATATTGGGCTCTGCCTGCATCTGAGTAGGTTTGATTTCAGTGATAATCAGCTCAGTGGAGAACTACCAGAGTCACTTGGGAGGCTGAATTCTTTGAGCTATTTCAAGGCATCAAATAATCTTTTCACGAATGAGTTTCCTCAGTGGATTGGTAACATGACCAGTCTTGAACAACTAGAGCTCTCAAACAATCAGTTCACTGGAAGCATCCCGCACTCAATAGGGGAATTGAGATCACTATCTTATTTTAGCATTTCAAATAACAAGCTTGTTGGAAATATTCCATCATCATTGGGTTCCTGCACAAAGTTATCTGTGATCAGGCTCAGAGGTAATGGTTTCAATGGAACCATTCCCGAGGGCTTGTTTGGCCAAGGATTGGAGGAAATAGACTTATCCCATAATGGTCTGATGGGTACAATTCCTGCAGCCTCAAGCAGACTCTTGGAAACACTCACCAATTTGGATCTTTCAGATAACCATCTCCAAGGGAATATCCCTGCAGAAATGGGTCTTCTTTCAAAACTAAGATATTTGAACCTGTCTTGGAATGATCTTCATTCGCAGATGCCTCCAGAATTTGGTCTCCTTCAGAACCTAACAGTTTTGGATCTTCGTTACAGTGCCTTGTATGGTTCAGTTCCAGCAGATATATGTGATTCAGGCAATTTAGCTGTCCTTCAACTGGATGGAAATTCACTGAAGGGATCTATTCCAGATGAGATTGGGAATTGCACATCTCTTTACTTGCTGTATGCCTCCTATTTCTCAAGCTCTAGTATCATCTTTTGTGCACAACTTTTTGTAAGGTACTAATTCTTTCTCTTTTTATGCAGGAGTTTGTCTCACAATAATTTGACTGGTTCAATTCCAAAGTCCATGTCAAAGTTAAACAAACTCAAAATTCTCAAACTGGAACTCAATGAGTTAATTGGAGAGATACCAATGGAGCTTGGAATGCTTCAAAGTCTTCTTGCTGTGAACATATCATATAACAGGCTCACGGGCAGGCTTCCTGCAGGTAGCATATTTCAGAACTTGGACAAAAGTTCCTTGGAAGGAAATCTTGGTCTTTGCTCACCCTTGTTGAATGGTCCATGTAAGATGAATGTCCCCAAGCCACTAGTGCTAGACCCAAATGCCTATAACAACCAAATAGGTCCCCAAAGACAAAGAAATGAATCATCTGTGCCTGGCCAAATTCATCGCCACAGGTTCCTTAGTGTATCTGCTATTGTAGCAATATCTGCATCCTTTGTCATTGTATTAGGAGTAATTGCTGTTAGCTTGCTTAATGTTTCTGTAAGGAGAAAGCTATCATTTGTGGATAATGCTTTGGAAAGCATGTGCTCAAGCTCTTCAAGATCTGGAAGCCCAGCCACAGGAAAGCTTGTTCTGTTGGATTCACAGTCCTCATCTGATTGGATCAGCAATCCTGAGTCCTTGCTCAACAAGGCATCTGAGATTGGGGAAGGAGTCTTTGGAACTGTATATAAGGTACCATTGGGATCACAAGGTAGAGTGGTGGCAATCAAAAAGCTTATTACCTCGAACATAATCCAATATCCAGAAGACTTCGATAGGGAAGTCAGAATCCTAGGAAAAGCAAGGCACCCAAATCTAATAGCATTGAAAGGATACTATTGGACTCCTCAATTACAGCTTTTAGTAACTGAGTATGCACCAAATGGTAGCCTGCAAACCAAGCTACATGAAAGACTTCCTTCTAGTCCTCCACTTTCTTGGGCTATTAGATTTAAAATTTTGCTTGGAACAGCAAAGGGTCTTGCCCACTTGCACCATTCTTTCCGTCCTCCAATCATTCATTACAACATAAAGCCAAGTAACATTTTGCTTGATGAAAATTGCAACCCGAAAATCTCAGATTTTGGGTTAGCTCGGCTTCTGACAAAGCTAGACAGGCATGTTATGAGCAACAGGTTTCAGAGTGCATTAGGATATGTAGCACCAGAATTAGCATGCCAAAGCTTAAGGGTCAATGAGAAATGTGATGTGTACGGTTTTGGAGTGATGATCCTTGAGCTGGTGACAGGTAGAAGGCCAGTGGAGTATGGAGAAGACAATGTGCTGATACTGAATGACCATGTAAGGGTGTTGCTTGAGCAAGGGAATGTGTTGGATTGTGTGGATCAAAGCATGAGTGAGTACCCTGAGGATGAAGTGTTGCCAGTTCTGAAGCTAGCAATGGTATGCACTTCTCAAATACCTTCTAGCAGACCTACTATGGCTGAAGTGGTGCAAATACTGCAAGTCATTAAAACTCCAGTTCCTCAAAGGATGGAAGTGTTTTGATGATGAGACATGCTTCTCTATCTAACTAGCTTGAAATATAGAAAATCTTCGTTACTGTTAAGATTACTGTTTTTTCGTTTTCTTTTTATTTTTATTTTTTTTCTTATGCCATGTATCCTTTTTAACTTTGCTTCGGTTTATGTGGACTGTTCATTCAAGTACAAGCAGGTTTTCCCCGTATAAATGGAAATCGGTATCATAAATCTCTAATTCTCAACTCTTGTTTTCTCTTTTATTGGTATCAGACTATCAGTTTATCGAATTATATTTACTAAATTTTGATCAAATTACAATTTATAGCAATGTAGCTGCATGAAAAAATATAATCACGCTGTTCAGTTAACGTATTAGACATTGGAAAGAACAAATTTAAAAATCTTGGGCATGAATACAGATTTGTGTTATCAATTATTTCTGGCTGCGGAAACTTTTAGAGAAGAAAAATTCTCCGCTAAACCACATTGAATTCAAACATTTTTAACTACATAATTTTATTTAGCTAAGTTGATCATCATTCATAGTTAAGGGGTATAAACAGGTTAGGCTAAATACGTATGGACGCCTCTTCACTCCAATACGTTATTGCAGAAAATTCAACCCATGGAATATTCGGAAAAGGAGTCCCTATAAGCCGTTTCGGTTTACTATTGTGAAAGGGCGTTTTTTTTCCTTAAATATGTATTCCTCAAAAGAACATAGCCTACTTGGATTTCTTCAAAAACATTTTTTAAAATGCAAATATAATAAAACTGCTTGATATGATTGACAGTAAATATAAAAATAGCTATTTTTGGGTTCAAACTTCAAAGGAGAACACAATAACTACTTGTGATTGTTACGCTGTTAGCATTGTGATTGATAAGACTTCTTTTCCCATCAACACAACTCATCAAAGCGGGATGTTAATATTTCATTTATACCATCAAATTTCTACTCATACAAGATAGCTTCACAAAAAAAGTATAAATACTTTTTGATAAAATGAATTAAAAGTAGTCTAGTCGATTAATTTTAATATAGCTGGATGCTGAATTTCGTAATGAAGCCCACATAGCAAGCAACAAGTAGCACTGCATGTGCCTCTGAAGAAACATTTTACTGCATACAATTGAATGGGTTCATAAAACAAAAAATTCGGTGGCCCTAAAAGCATGATCGATTCTCTACTATTCTACCAAATTCGCATAAAATTATCATCCTATACGGAAAAGAAATTGGATAAAAGCAAACATCATAATGAAAAACAAAAATTGCATTCTCAATCCTCATGCAAAGCCTTCATCAAATAGAGTCTGTTGAAGCTCTGCCCTGACACCCTGCAGAACATGCGACAGAAAATGCAATAACGATTAAACTTTATTAAATATAGCCAAAATAAAGGAAACTGCAGGAAATTCAAATGGGCAACTAGAGTATCTTGCTTCTCAACATGAAAAACATGACCTGGCTACCATGAAAACATAGTTACATACCCATTAATTTGGTTGCAGTAGTTTGAAATTTGATTTGTTATGAGGAAGCTCTCCAATCGTGATGGTTCAGCGAGCGGCTTGAAAATGGGATTTGAAGGATCTTCCTCCGGCAAAGGTTCTTCTCCTGCAGCTTTACGAGCCATGTTCTCCGCCCTAATATAACAAAAATCAAAACAGATAATATATTAAACCAATAATTGGAACAAGGCTAAGCTAACTATTGCAACTTCCAATCTCTGTAGTCGTGTGAAAAATAAAAGACAGGCCAAAGAAATTCAACATTAAGATTGTCTGTGTAAACAGACATGCTCTATATTTGATCCCAAGAGCTATGTGAATCCAAATTATGCTGGATTACCTTTACCTTCAGTCAAAACTTATAACTACTGGACTTGAAAATTGTTACCAACTTATATTTTAGCATTCATTTATACATCATAAAACACAGCTTGGCATGAAATGACTTGACATGCATCAGAGCTATAAAACATTCTCCCCCTTTCCCCAAAAAATTCAATGGCACCACCGTTGATGCACTATTGCATTTTGGTTTATCAATCAGCCATAGCAATATGAACGCATCCCCTTCAATCTCATTATCCTTCTCATTACTACTTTGGAGTTGTTGGCTAAATATCCTCACAAACATAGGAGACTAAATCTTAGAACAAGGGTGGTGACACCGTGACAGTAATGCGAAGTCCACCAAAGGGTGCCAACTCCACAATTATAACCTCAGTAAAGTTCACCTAGGGTCAAAGTACGCTTCCATTGTGATCAACCACTATTAGGTATACCAGTCTTTTAAACCAATATATAAGTGGTGCAAATTAAGTAAATTATGACCCTCAACCTTGAGTAAACTCTAATTTCCAACATACTCTACAAACAGAACCTTTATTTTACTGAATAGCACAAAAATCCAAATGTATACAAATTTAATGTCAATATGGCATGGATAATTGAACTTAATTTAATAGGTCAATGTGTATGCCTCAAAAGTTATTTGAAAAAAAAAATTACGTACTGACTTGTCTATTTTCTTTTGATAATAATAAGCACGTGATATTGTTAGACAGATGAAGTTTTCATGAAAATTTCATTGTTGGCTCAGTTCCCTAAATAAGTAATGAGTTGAACAGATTAAATTGGTAAGTAGGTCCTCTCTAACCAACCTGTTACAAACTAATCAAGAAATAATGAAAAAAGGAAACAAAATCTAAAACAATTGGAAAACTCATTCAAAGATGTAATAACCAATTTATGGGATTTGAACCAAAACAAATGAGTTAGCAAAAGCATCATCCAAACATGTTAATAATATCTTAAAACCACACAAGTCTTACTGCCAGTCTCTGCATTCTAATCTTACAACAAACAAAAACATAATGCAATTATTAGATTGAACTAGCACCAGTTCAAAACCAAATTAAATAATACCTTCTCTTTTGAAGCCATGCTTGCTGCTGAGCCTGTTGACGAGACAAGCTCCTATAGTAGAATTGGAACTAAAATAAAAGAAATTTCAGTCAGATACATCTAAAATTTAAAAAAAAAAAAAACAACTAATGAAGACCTAAAATGACCTTTTGTTGTTCTAGTGACAAGTCATCCATGCATTCAATCAAAAATTCCATATTCCTCTCCATTAATGAACTGGTTGACAATTGTAAGCGATCATAATCACACTGCAATGGCACAACAGCAGATGTAAACATAAACTACATTTTAAATGATCAAAAGAATATCTTGTAAAGATCATAGTTCACCTGGGTGACTGGGGTATCAGGTTCAAGCTCTGTCATAAAAGCACTGATAAGGGCAGAATTTGAAACTTTGATCTGATATATAAATACATATGAAGCATGATCAGCTTTAAATACAAACCTATGTCCTACTAACAAAAATATAATCCAAAATTAATTAATACACTTCAGTACCATAAAATATGTTACAAGAGAATATTGATGTGAATGCCAGTCAAATGTCTAATTCATTCTTAATTGTTGCATTAATCAATTTGACCAAGATTATTACTATTCCAATCCACCATGATGAATGTGTTTTTCAATCATTACAAATTTTGAACCACTTTACTTTTAAGATGATTTGGGAAGTACAAGGCATTTAAAATTATAAAAAAAAAAAATCATTACAATGAAGCAAGTATTTGGTCAAACCAAAAGCACAATTTTCAAGAAAGCTTACAGGTATTTCCTCGAAGATATCCACCCATGATAAGTTCTTCTCCCTCAATCTATACCACAAGAAAGAAGAAAAATAAGAAATCAAATGGTTCAACTTATCTTAAAGACAAGACATCTAGAAGAAAATCCATACTTCTCTCCAGTAAAATTGTTGCTGCGATAGAGTTCCATAAATGAGTCAGAAAGTTTCAAGGCCTTCAAAGCTAGAACACCTTGATCAGACCTTGACGGATCATATATTATGCAAACACAGCGTCTAATATTCTCCTGAAAAACATTGGTATGTTAGAAAGAAAAATTTATATACCTGAAATGATAATGTTGTTAAGATTGACTTAAACCCCCAAAATAAAAAAGGCCCAAAGGACTGCATCCTACAAACTAACTTTTAAATTTTAAATATCAGAAATAACCATCGGTCATGTGTAGTAAATTTAAGCAACAGAAAACCTAGACAAGGGAAAAAAACATGATATTCACATCATCTGGTTATACACAAACATAGATTTATTTGTCTTTTTCCTTAGTCATCTCAACTCTCCTATTTTACAAACACCTATTTTCACTTCAAAGTTCAAAGCAATATAGTAAGCACATCAGTAAATATAGTTTAGCTCATGTAAAATTCCAAGTTATTTGTAACAAAAGTCATTCTCATCCAACAAAATACACTGATATCTGAAATTCAAACCCTTGGTGTTGCAGACCACATCATGTGTTGGCCTGTTGGGCATTCTATTTCTAAATTTTAGTTCTGCAGACTAGTGTGAAACTTATGTAATCACCTCCCATTAATGACCGCTTCTGGCAAGGGAAGAATATTTTGGAGACACATGAACAAAATGAGATTAGCACATTTACATTAAATAGAAAACTATAGGCGCATTTGGTTTCCACAATAACAAATAGTTACAAGGTACTAACAAAGAAACCCCATCTTAAACAAAACAAATTTTAACAGCCATTACCTGGTAATTCATAAACGTTTCAATAAGCTCCACAGTCTGAAAGGAGCCAAGCAATGTAGACTGGTACCTAGATTCAAAGAATTATCACATGTATTGGAGAAATTATTACAAAGAACATATCAAACCAAATTCCAAAACATTTATCAAACCATTAAAGTTTAAAACACTTGAGTAGGTATCTCATATGAAAGTTGTATTTTCATCATACATACCATCCAACAGTATTATTGTCAACATTAACCTCCCTCAAGCATCTCATCATTTCGAGCTGGTAATTAGCACCATCAGCTTCAATTTCCTCATCCTCCTCCCTCATCTGCAATTTTAAGTAACAAACACGATAACTTCAGGAAGGCAGCATTGAAGAATTAAAAATGGAGAAACAAAGAAAGAAAAAGAAAGGTGATATCATACTGGAAAGGGGAAGCAGTTAGTAACTTCAAGAACACTGCCAACATCCAACCCAAGAAGTTGTCCGGTGACTAAAGCAGGCGAGTGGTCCTTACAATGCTTAATTATCTTCAGGATAACCTGTTCAGCCAGAAACAACATCACCCAGAATGGTGTAAGTATTTCTGTTCACTATGCAAAAATAATTGAAGATACTCTCACAATATGGGCCCTGCCTCAAAAACTTCTCCAACTTTAATGATACAATATTTTATCAGGAAATAGGTATACACACACATACATAGAAATACAACAATAGACCTACCCATTAGAGCCCCATCCACACAAACTCGGATGTTAGAAGTTGCTTAAACGTTGCAATTTCAAAATTCTTACATAATTGGAGTCCATAAAAAAGTGAAGTTACAACGCAACATATTTGCAGACTACCCAAATGCAAAAAACAAATAGAGAACCATAATTACAAATAATGCAACCCTTCAAAACCCCATATAAATGCAACATTTTTTTGGTGATTCCAAAAGCAGTTTCATGCAGCAGTTTAGAAATTGAAGTGAATAAAGCATACCAATCCCTCAATCTGAACGACTCTAAGAGGTGGGGCAGCTTCCTCCGTTGCGGCCACTTGGAGAAAAGATCTAGCTGTGGCTGCATAAAACGAGGCATCAATGGCGTTATGTGAGTGAAGAAAGAAAAATGCGGAAATTCGAGATTGTTGAAAGAGAAAGCGCACTATTAGCCATGTTTTGAATCTCGAAAGTGAGAACCACGAAAATCAGAAGGAGCGGAGAAGTGTGTGTTGAAGCTTCGAGGATGAAGAAACCCTAAAGCCGGAGAAAGAGGAGAAGGCTTTGCTCAGAATTGGGCTCAAATAGTCCACAACTAAATGAAATTTTTTTAAGGATATGTAATTATTTATTTATTTATGCTAATATGTATTTTTATTTATTTAACTATAATCTCTTACAAATATTATACTATAAATTTAAATTTTGATTATCCAACAAATTTTTTTAGAGTTAATTTTATTCTTATTAAGTTGCATGAATTTTTAAATTATTATTTATTAAATTTAACTCTATTTTTAATTTTAAATCTCAACAATTTACATTTAATCATTTATATATATCTATTTCTTAAATTTAATTTATGTAATTTACATTAAATTATTTTTAATTTTAGTCGTATCAATGTTATTTTTTAAAAATTTAATAGTTTTAAAACAATTATTTTTTAAAATTAAATAACTTAAATTTATTTTATATTTTCATTTAAATAAAAATTTCTATTAAATATTATTCCTTGTACGAGACCAAATCAATAATATATATATATATATATATATATATATATATAAACTTTAAGATTATTGTGTTGATAATTTTATTTTTATTTTTAAATTTTGACATATTATATTAATAAAGAGGATATATATTAATTTTTATAATTTATTTTTATTTAATTTTTATATAATCAAGTCTTTATTATTAATACTGAAAATTTATAGTATTTTTTAATTTATTCTTATGTTTTGCATTCAATATATGCATATTTTAAATGAAAGAATGGATTTTTTTTTTCCACATTCTAAAAGAACTCATTTGATTACCTGAGTCATTTCACTAGCCTTAAAGTTTGTGAAATTATCATATTATTAATATTAAGTTTAGAGAGTTTAGAATATTTTAGTCATCAATTTATACTCTATTAGGCTGTATCAAATGTTTATATATATATATATGAAAAAGGATCTTCTTATACTAATGTAAGTCTAAAAATTTTTACACTTAATCTGAACATTTTATTTAATTTAAATCTAACGGCCAGTAAAATAATAAATTATAATTCGTTAAGTTTAAGTTAAATAAAAAACTCAAATTAGATGTAAGAATTTTTAAACTTATACTATTATAAAAAGATGATAAAAGTACAAACAATCTTAAGCACACATTAGGTAGTCCCAATATAAGCTAATAAGAAAAATAGTTAGTTTTATAGGTAGCTTTTATATTATCCAAAAGACTAATGGAGAGACATGTTAATTACAACGTTTCTTAACGAGGATTGAGTTACTAAGTCCAATATCCCCCAAAGTCTATGTAGGGTATGAATTTTTCTATGAACAACTTTTCCTTCTCTAATTTTTGGGGTTTTTGAAACTTGAAGCAATGACACTAGCTTTCTTATTTATAAAGCATTCGTTTCCTTCTCTTTCTGTGATCCTTCCGACCAATCATAATTAAGTAGCAGAAATGTCCTCTAACCATCATGACGAAATGTTACATGATGCAATATCAATGGCTAAATTGAAAAAGTACAAGGCCACACCATGTGAATTTCAAAACTTCATTGAACTTATGAAAGTGCTTCCATCCCTACATTTATCTAAATCCTCTTTAAGCTTTTCAATTGTATTGTCCTTCTCATGTATTCTTTCCAAGAGCCTCATATTCTCTTCTTTGAGTGCCTCAAATTGGTTAACTATCCCTGCAATTTGAGCTTCAATGGCCTCATCACTTAGCTCAAAGACACTTTCTACCACTCTAATGACACGCCACAAACTCACTACAACCAACAAACCACCCCCTTTTCTCATCACAAAGGCTTCCAAAACTATAGCCCCTATGGCCACAACTCCATCAATAACATGTCCCAAATGCTTGAAAAATGAAGAGCCTAACCCCACAAGTAAAGCCATTGTCTTTGCTAAAAGAAGACTTGTTATACCAATTCCAATCCAATGGAAACTTAGTTCCACCTTTTGGTTCATGTCTTGTTCGCATGTAACTAAAGATGAAGATAGCTCAAGGATTGTGATGATGAGGTCAACAATAAGCAATGAGATTGAAAACACATGCACCCATGTTGATTCAAGGAAATTGACCAAATGGGCACGCCATGGTGCTCCACTCAAATCTTCTTGGTTGAAGGTGGCAAAAAAAAGTAACCACCTTTGCCTTCTCTTCCATGATTTTATTAGAATTCGGACAGAGGAATCTAATATTTGCATGGAAAAAGAATTGGTGGGTGTTTGTGTTTGATTAGTTTCGGAGGAAAAACGAATGGATTTCATGTTGGTCATTGATGAGAAATGCAAGTTGGAGATTTGGTAATAAGAGTAGCAAGTTTCATAATTTTAATACTAGAGAAATGTTAGTTAATTGTGACGTAGTGGATATGCTATGTTCTTGAAGTGCAAGTAAGGTATGAAGGTTTTGCATACTTAAGCTTTAGGGTCACGTTAGACGGCCACATTATTTGCTTATTTAAGGTTGTAGTAATTAAGAATGTCTTCCCAAACACTAAATATTTATGTTATTGTGTATTCATGTACCGCAAAATGTCATTATTGTATCTAAAGGTATGGTCGCAGCCTGGAAAATCTTCTCCAGAACATTTTGATCGTGCATTCAATCAACTGTAAAAAGAGAGTATAATTTTGATGTTAAATTTCTCAACTAAGCTGATTTGGACAAACAATCAAATTTGACTTGTCATTAGTGTATGTCTTATAATTTTACTTTGTTAAAAAAATTTTACAAAATGAAAAAAAAGAAAAAATATATAAATTAAATTATAAAAACTGTTATCCAAGTTTAATATAAGTTTTTAATTTGAGGGTTTTTTTAATTAATATGGAATTTAAAAATGTTATATACTTAATAATTATCATGGACGATTTTTATATAAAATTTAAAAATCGTTTTTTGAGTTTTATAAAATTAACTAATTTTATATAAAAATTGTCAATAGTAAGTTTATAATTTTTAAAAAAATCGAGTAACATTTTTTTTACTTTCTTATACTTCTATAATTCTTTCTAAAATTTTATATTTAAGTATACATTTTCAAATTTTATATTAAAAATCATAAATTTGACATTATTTTTTACTAGTTTTAATATATTTTTTTCAATTTTAGTAAATTTCTTTGTAATTTCTTCAAACTTATTTTTAGTTTTTATTTTTTTATAATTTTTTATTGCTTATCTAATTTATTAAAATACTTTCAAATATTCACTTTTGATTCAACCGTGTCAAAAGACTAAAAATAACAATAGTAAAAAAGTAAGACAAAAGAAACTAAAACAAAAGGATGTAAAAATGTAAGGACAAAAATATATTTAAACTTTTTTTAATTAATTTAAATCTTTGGGCGAACGGTGGGTGAACACCTGAGGGGCGGCACTGAGGGGCGGCGGTAGACAAATTCAAAGTGGTGTTCGAGTACCTGTCCAATCTGATAAGACAAATCAACATAGTATAGTCTTGTTGGTCTAGAAACATCCGTTCTAGGCACTGACACAAGTGTCATGAATATATAAGGCCCCTTATACGCAGAGTATTTTATTTTTTATTAATAATTATAAAATATTATTTTAACATTCTTTCTGATAATTCTATAATTTTGAAATTACAAATATTTTTATTTTGAACTTCTTATGCCGACTGAAAAACAGAATAAATAGAGTGGAATCTGTGTGATGATTGTGTGTAGTCAGAGGGAGGAGAAGCAGTGACAGAACCTGGAAATGGCGAAAGTGGGTAGAATGATGTTGGGTTCACAAGGCTTGGAAGTGTCTATGCAGGGACTTGGATGCATGGGCATGTCTGCATTCTATGGTCCTCCAAAGCCTGAACCTGACATGATTGCTCTTATCCACCATGCTGTTCAAAGTGGTGTCACTTTTCTTGACACTTCTGACGTCTATGGTCCTCACACCAACGAAATCCTTCTTGGAAAGGTTCCAATTTTAAGCTTGTTTCAGCTACCCTTTTCGGTTTTCTTTTGATTATTTGAGTTGTTTGATATGATAATGAATGATAAATCTGAGTTTGAATTTTGTTACAATTTGCTTTGGCCTAATGGCATATGAAATTTTACGATATGATTTGATGAAGTATATGAAATTGTGGGATAGGCTCTTAAAGGAGGGGTGAGAGAGAAGGTTGAATTGGCCACAAAGTTTGGAATCAACTATTCTGAAGGGAAAAGGGAGATCCGTGGTGATCCAGCATACGTGAGAGCTGCTTGTGAGGGCAGCTTGAAGAGACTTGGAATTGGTTGCATCGATCTCTATTACCAACATCGGATTGATACTCGTGTGCCTATTGAAGTCACGGTTTGTCACTGTTTTTTTAAACTTGCATCTAAAGATATACAATAAGAATCTATAGAATACGAATCTATGTGTAGTAAGTTTTTATCTAAAATAACAAAATATCACATAGTTAAAAGTCTTTAATAATATTAAATACTACCATTTTTAAATTGAAAAAAACTACTATTTCTTCATTTCTTAACATTTGTCTCTGTCGACTCATGTTAAGAAAACTAATACTATTGACATATTTGGCACCCTACTAGGATATGTCCCGGTGTTCCTTCTGGAGAATCTGAAACAAAGTTTGATCTTGTAATGGCTTCAGTAACTTGGGGTCTTGAACGGAGTAGTATGTTTGAAGCATTAGTTTACTTGAGGAAATTTGATATTTTCCAATGGAAACACTTTCTATAAAACGTTAGATGATATCAATATTTGATGTGGGAAATAACTATTTGTTCGCATATATAAGACGACAATAAATGATGACTTTTTGAGTTTTTCTTTTGCTTTTTGTATTGTAAGATTGGTGAGCTTAAGAAACTTCTTGAGGAGGGGAAAATAAAATACATTGGTCTGTCTGAGGCCTCAGCTTCAACAATAAGAAGAGCACATGCAGTTCATCCAATAACAGCTGTGCAATTGGAGTGGTCTCTATGGTCAAGAGATGTAGAGGAAGACATTATTCCAACTTGCAGGTGTGACTTAATATTCAAATATTATGTTCTGTTGTTATTGTTATCTATCTATTCTCTTTTTAGGAATGTAACTTCATGTCTTTTAATTTGTCCTTTTCAGGGAACTTGGTATTGGAATCGTTGCATACAGTCCTCTTGGGCGAGGATTCTTTTCGTCAGGAACAAAGCTGCTTGAGAATTTGGCAAAGGATGACTTCCGGCAGGTATGTTGAAAGCATGCTTTTTTTACGGAAATTCGTGTCAATTGTGCTCTTTCATAGTCAATTCTCATAGCAATGCTTCAGAACCTTGGATTATTTCTAACCTTTGCTGTCTTCAAGTTTAATTAGTCCCAACATTAATGATTAAAATACCTGTTAGTAAGTATTATTGTTGAATCATTCATTCTTGTGGTCTGTTGTGATCCCCATTAGATCATGTTCATTATACAATAATTGTGCTTACTGACTGCGAACATTAAACAATAAAATTTTGTAAGCACCATGGCCAGAATCAACACAGTTGTTTATTTAAGCTTTGTGATCCATTATTTTTTTTTTATAATAAAACATTTTAGCAGAACATGTAATAGTGATGGATGAGGGTGTGTAACAACTCAATTAAACTCTTATGAGTAAGCTCTTATCAAATGAGAGTTTATTCATAAGCTTGATAATGGAACTTTTTGAAAATAAGATAGAGAAGAAAGCTTTCTTTGATAAACATATATGTGAAGCTCTTTGAAACAAGCTAGAAAGAATATATCCGAAGGTTGTAAGGCGCTTTCATAAGCCTAATTACCCCTGCCAAATTTCACCTAATTGCTACTTGTAAACATGATTGAGAATTCTAAACAATAAGCAGGACCATATCATGTGGCTACCCTTAATCTGGATTTCCAAAAGGAAATAAATAAGTAAATTCAGTAATAGCTTAGCCTTCGGGCCACAACGGACATGCCAACTACTACAAAAAATCATAGTTGCTTAATTGTGCAAACAAGTCAATTAGCCGACTGAAGTAAATGCAGAAAGTAAAATGCACATACTTCAAGCCTTAATAAAAGACTAACGTACATCCTACCCATTGAGATTTGCATCGAACGTTCCTTTTCAAAGTGTTAGCATTTATTTATTCTGTGGGTACAAGGAATACTTATTAACATCAAAGCTTGTCACGGTTTTGCCCAGTAACTTTCAAGAATGCATTCTTCCTGTGCACTTACTGTCCTTTCACTTTCCACAATAACCTTTTCAGCCTATATTGAGATCTAAACTTTTAGAAGATATTGAATGACCAAACAAAAATTTATAAGAAGAGAGAGTGAATGAAAACATTAGATTTGAAGAGAAGTTAACATGACATATATATTTGAAATATGATTTTATGACATGCTGTGGCCTGTTGTAGCATCCCTAAGTCCAGGTTATTGAATTTTTCCTACTTGACACCTTGTATCTAACTATATGTGTAAATAAGGGAAATTACTTGTTATCTTTTTAAATGTCAATTATTGAGACCTAAATAAAATCTTCTGTGTATATGTTTGAATCTATTGCAGACACTGCCTAGACTCCAACCTGAAAACTTGGAGCAGAACAAGACTATATTTGAGAGAGTTAATGAATTTGCTGCAAAAAAGGGATGTACTCCATCTCAGCTTGCATTGGCCTGGGTTCATCACCAAGGAAATGATGTGTGCCCTATACCTGGAACCACCAAAATTGAAAACTTTAATCAGAACATTGGGGCTTTGTCTGTCAAACTAACACCAGAAGAAATGGCAGAACTTGAGTCCTTTGCTGCTGCAGATGCTGTGAAGGGTGATAGGTACCAGGATGATATGGCTACATGGAAGCATTCTGATACTCCACCACTTTCTTCTTGGCAAGCTTGAAAATGAAGTGCGTTGCTTAATGCTTATGCTAGTGTTCCTTAAGTATTTGCTGCTTGCTACTTTAACAAACAGAACAGTATGAGGGCTCATTCCTTTGCATTAGAAAGGAATTTTGCTGAATAAACCTTCCTAGTTTCTGGCAGTTGACGAGTTTGGTTATGAATATGATTCCATATAGGTGTGTATGTATATTTCAGAATAAACCTGGAAAGAATGTGAAAAGGCTATGGTATGTCTTTTTTGTTGGATATTTTATGTATGAACTGATATAAATTAATTTTTGTTATAATTTTAATTTAATTTCAAATTAATTTAATGTCAAAATATTAACTTTAATTTAATTCTAAATTAATTTGATATCATAATATTGAACTATGTTGTTTAGTCCATATTATAAATAATTATTGTTATTAGGCTTATTTATAAGAACTTTATAATTATTAGTAGATATAGTTTTATGGTTATTGTTATTGAAATGAGTCATATTAGATAGGTTTGACTTATTGTTATTAACCAGAGAGGTTTCTATTCTTAATTACTTCAGAATAATTGTTATCTTATCGAGATATAGACAGTGTACTTAGAGCATATGAAAGGGTGATAAAAGAAGTTTTCTCTTTGTTTTCTAGTTTTCTTTCATATTGAGAATTAAATTCTAATTTTTTCTTTAAGAGATATAGAGCTTTTCTAATTGTTTAAAAATATATATTTATACATATGATGAGCTCAATTTAGGATTTTGAATTTTTTTTGATTAATTTCAAAATTAATTTAGGGCTTTTGTTACTGTTAATATTATGAATAAATTGATGTAAAAATCGTGTGAAATAGATTTGTGTACAAGGAGAATTTTGGTTTTAAAATCATAAATACTAACTTTTGAACTCAATTTAAATTTGAAAATTTTCAAATCCATACGTTTGTGAAAAACTTTCAATTTCTTAGGACTTCTATAAAATAGGAAATTTCAAATCTTTTAACACTAAAATCATGAATTTTCATCAAGTATTGAGGGAGAAATAATGAAAAAACTCAAACTATCCACTCTTTTTTCATAGCATTAATGTTAGAGACTGTGATTTGAAACAAAAATTACATAGATTTTGTAGAGTTTTGAAAAAGAAAATCCATAAACATTTGATTGATTTTAGTTATTATTCTATATGCTTATGTTTTAAGATGGTGTGTGTGGTGTTATAGAGTACAAAACTTTATTGTCATATAAGAACTATGTTTTTCAATTTTTTTATGAGTTTTAAATTAGTTTTGAATTTTGTTGTTCAAGTGTTGAATTTAATTTGGTTGTACATAGTGAATTTGTGGTTTGTACTTGGTCATAGTTAATCTTTGTTGTTTCTTTTCTATTTATTCTAATTGATGGGATTTAGATACCTTATTGTGAGTTTTTCACAAGATAGGGTAATGTGGAAAGAGATAACTACAAAAGGTTATGCAAGATGAAATTTGTGGGTCTACGGATTTATTTTCCCTTAAGATCTTATGTCAATCTTGTTCTTATCTATTCATTTGAGTATAATTAAAATGAGTGGATATAAATTGGACTATTATCTTGAAAATTTGTTTTGCTACTTTTTGATGTAGGGTTGTCATTTTAAACCATAAATTTGTTTGCTCCAATTAATGCATATATTACGAAAGCATATATTACAAAAGCCCTCTTTCTTATGCAAGTTCAACTTCTAATTTATATCAAAGTATTTCCTTAATAATTTTTCTTTTTCTATTTCAAGTCTAAATTAAAATAATATTTCCAATGTCTAGTCATTGACAAACTTCTTCTAAATGGAGGAAGACTTTGTAATTTCGTTGTTGTATTGCATAAATTAATTATTGCATTATATTGATGGCTGCATTGTCACTTGCTATGATGAATATTTTGGGGCATGTTTGTAGTATATAGTATTACATTATATCGTATTGGCAACAAATACTAAAAATAAATATATAAATCTATTTTACTATAGTAATCAATATGAATAATAGTAATAATGAAACCTATTTTTTTTATTTTAAAATTATTGGTAAATTAGATTTATTTTATAGACATCAGAAGTAATTTTGTTAAAAAATTTTATTGTAAAAAAATGCTTAAAATATTATATACTCTTCTAATTTTGGTTTAAAGTTTTTTTTTATACATATTTTTGACACTAGTATGCACATTATGTTCAACATACTTATCAATTTGGTATTATTTGATTAATTAAATTATTCGTGTTCTATTATGTGTATATTATTGATTATTGTGATTATGTCATATTGCTATTACAAAATTTTGAGACATATTTCTGAGATATGTTGTTTTAGACTATTTTGTGTTCTTGGGTATTTTTCACAATTGTGAACTCGCCTTCGCGAGATAGATTATGATAAAATATTGTTATATGAAATTTATTGTAATTAATGTGGCATTGAAAATAATTTAAATAATGCATCTACTCTATCAATTTGTCTTTATTGATTAGTTCCTAATGATTAGCAATTATATTTTAAAGTTTTCAGTATCCTTTCAATATTAGCTTTAAAAATATAATTGTTTTCTATACCGTGGGAGTTAACTCTTGTATTATAATTCGGAACATTGCGATGGGATTATAATTGCATGAGGTAACATTGTTGTTATTATAAACTCTATCTTGTCTATTTGAGTTTACTCGACAAAAATCTCTCATTTATGTATAAATTTTAGCTTTGTCAAATGAACTCTCTACCAAAGCTGAATGAAAGCAATTATGAGTACTAGGTTGATTCTGTTAAACTATTCTTTGCCTTTTTTTAACTTTACTAAGAATGAGCCAAATGCTTCCACACCCAAATCTTTCGCTAGCTGATAAGTAAGCTCATTTTAATAAAATATGTCTCTAGACAAGAAATTTGATAAAACCCTCTCTTGACTTTAACAAAAATACAATTGATAAATGTATTTATTTATCTGAGGAATAGTGGGAGAAATTTGTTGCTATTAATAATTTGTTGATGACATCCTTTTGGCTAGTAATGATGTTGATTTTCTAAATGAAACTAAACATATGCTTACCACTCATTTTGATATGAAGGATCTTGGTGATGCATCTTTTATTTTAGGCATTGAGATTCATCGCAACAGATATTGCAGTATCCTTAGGTTGTCTCAACAAAGATATATTGATAAAATCCTGAATGAGTTCAATATGCAATTTTGTGATCCTTGTATTGCCCCATTCAAAAGGGTGTAGAATTTTCCAAAGCCCAGTGTCCTCATACTAAAAGTGAAGTAGTAAATATAGAGAAAATTCATTATTCTTTTGTTGTTGGTAGCCTTATAAACGCCTTGATATTGCTTTTGTTGTTGGCATATTTGTGAGATACTTGAGTAAACCTAGTGTGGCACATTGGTAGGCTGCAAAGCGTGTTTTGGGTATCTGAAAGGTACAAGAGATTATAATATAGGAGATTAGGTCATCTTGAGGTGATATATTATTGTGATTCTGATTATCGTGGTTGTTCAAATGTTTATAAGTCCACATCAAGTTATGTATTTGTATTAGCTGATAAGCTATCTCTTGAAAGAATGTCAAATAGACTCTTACAACTACATCATCAACTATGAAAGTATAATATATAGCCTGTTATGAGGCTACACGTTAGGCAATAAGGTTGAAAAACTTTATTACTGAATTTGATGTGAAGAGTATCTCTTTAGGCCTTTAACTATATATGGTGATAACTTTGTAATAATTAGTTTATCTCTCAATAATAATAGCTCAAAGCGAACAAAACACTTTAAGACAAAGTTTATGTTTGTGAGAGAGAAAATACAAAAGTTTAAAACTCGTGTTAAGCATATCGCTACTGAACCTATGGTTTCTAATCTCTTAACAAAAAGGATAGCTATTAAAGTTTTTGTTGAACATGTAATCCTGTGTGTGGGTGTAATAAAGTCCCTTTGGTATTTTAGATTAGTGAGAGTTTATTCTCATATTTTGTTATGATCTCGTATTTGTAATGTTTTGAGACATTGATAATATTTGAGACATTATTGTTCAAACAATAGTTATTGTTATTATTTTTTGTCATATACATTTGTTTTATTTAGTTTAATTATTATAATTATTATTGTATATGTATATACTGTGATTGTGGAGACATTTTGGATCCAGTATCAATTTTGTTGTTGTAATAAGATTTCTTGAATCTTATAAAGCATCTTGTGCTTTAAGATTTTCCCATTTATTCATATTTCACTCTGTTGTTGAGTCACCGAATATAGGTGTCTTATAATATATGATATTATTACTCTTTCGAGTATGATTTTTTGCATTGTTAAGATGTTTATAGTTTGTGTTGACTTATTTTGTCATCTTGTTGTGGCCACATATTATTGATTAATATGGAATAATATGATGTTTTTGATTTATATTGTCCAAGTGAAAGACTGTTAGATATTTTATGTGTGAACTGACATAAATCAATTTTTGTTATAACTTTAATTTAATTTTAGATTAATTTGATACTAAAATATTGAACTATGTTGTTTAGACCATATTATAAATAATTATTGTTATTAAGTTTATTTGTAATAACTTTATAATTATTAGTGGATATAGTGATAGGAATTCTCTCTCTGTTTTTTAGTTTTCTCTCATCAATGACTTATTAACCTCAACTGTTTTAAATAATTCTAACACCTAATCCTATTATAATGTATCTATATCACTTGTCATATTGAGAAGTAGATTTCAATTTTTCTTTCGAGCCACGTCTTTTTCTGCTGAATGTCATGCTTATTGCCTTGAAAAAGCAATTTCAGTTATATATCTTGTTTCAAAGACGTCTGCATGATGTCAGGATTTGTATTTTTATAAATTTGAACAATTGATTTTTGTCCTAACAGCCTTCGATTTCACACTATTAGACTTGAGGGCATCCAGATTCAGAATGCTATCACTTGAAAGCAAATGACCTTTATATATTACTTTCTCTTGGAGCTTAGTATACAAATTAGTGTGTTTCAAAATACGTTATGCAGAAGTTAAAACTATTAGTGTCGAAGTGAACGTGGATTTACTATCTAAACGTGAATACAAACATGCACAGATGCACTTAATGTGTAACTTTGGAAATATGTTTGGAGTTCTCCTTTGACGAATTCTGTTTGCAAAAGTTTTGGTTTCTATTAATTAGACTATTGTTGACATGCTGTGCTCGTGAAGTGTAGCTTAGCTCTGAAATTTTTTGTTACTTTAGCTTTAGGGTAACGTTGGACAGCCACGTTAATTGCACGCGGTTATCGACATCGAGAATGTCATAATGTTTG